TTGTGCGGACTGGTGGTAACACTAATCTGCCAGAGCAACATTTTTCTATAAACGAAAAATAAAGAAAGAACAATACTGTAGTCTAATCATGTCTATATCATTTTCTGTATTCGACTGAGGATGTGATGTGTGTGGGTATCTTCTCTTTCTACCAACCCGCAACCCCACACCCAATATCTCTTAGATCAGTATAGGGTTTTAAAGCTTGTGTAATGATAGAATTTGAAAATTAATCAAGATTATTTATCGAAGCGAAAATTAGATTGAATAATTACTGAAGTTTTATATAAAATATTAAAGATTTTGAATGATATTTTAATAATTTGGTTGGCATGAAATCAGTTATTTTATCAATTACTTCTATTAAATATAAAAAAATTTCTCTATAGTATATTGAATGTTAATTTATGACCAATCGAAGATAGTTCTAAAAACAAGTAAAGGCAGAGATATGAATGTGAACGGTTCACTATAAATTTATTCATATTATAGCCGAAAGATAAGATCGACAAAGTGTGATCGAAACATGTGAACCAAAATTAACAGACTCATTTCATGTACAAGTTGCGAGCCAGTGAGATCACAAATTTGTTTCATATGACTCCAAACAACGCGTTTCTCTTTTCATCAACTTCAAGAAAATATAAGAATAAGCAGTGGAGAATACAATCTTCAGGGTGTGAGTGGAGATGTATCATGCCTATTCCACTCACACCCACCCGTAACAATCAGTTCACAAATAGAACTTAAAAAGTACATTTACACTGAATATGTATTATGATACACTTGACATAGAGAAACATAGTCGATATAAATCGTAAGAAACGGTAGAAAAAGTTCCAGTTAATGCAAGAGATTAGAGTCAATAGAGTTAAGAAATTGTAATCTTCAAGTTTTCCATAGCGTTTGATTTGACGTATGCATGCATCAATAATAGTTAAGAGATTATAATAATACTAATCAGCTATCATTAACCGTTAAAGAATTTACTAAATTTCTTTCTTCAAAAATCATTAAATATACTTGTACTAGAAATAAACATTGTATAATTATTATTAGTCGATCTTTTCACATTTTATATTCTTACTATACTTTGAACAAGATATTTTCATTTAGAATTATTGAAACTATATTTATAATAAATATAATATAAAATAGATTCTTTCTTTATTTGAATTTTTCAAACATGCAAGAATAATATGAATTTTCAACAAATAATTTTATTATTCTTTAAGTCATTATGCAATATATAATAATAAAGAATATAATTATCGTTAACAACAACGATATTTTTATGCTAAACCATGTGTGCACAATATTTATTTATGTGTACCTATAGCAAAAGAAAGAGTAGAAGGTGAAAAACATGTTATTATCAGTCGACCATAAACAACATAACTACGAAATACATGTTGCTTTGAGATAAATTGCTGATTACTAATAAGCAGATAAATTCTTTTTATATTTTTCTGAAATTGACATTTAGATTTTACTTAATATTTATTTAAAACTATATGTACTATTTATTAATCTTAAAGATAGAATGATAATAAAAAGAATCCTTACTCCCCCATAATTTTTTATGCTTCATTTATTCATTTGTGTATCAATATCTATTTTTTTCTTTTCTTTCTTATAATATTATAGTTTCGTTTGCTCGAAAGCACATAATAATGTGATTCTATTCAGATATATTCCTTTTTTATACTAACAAATACTGATACATTCAACAAAATGTGTGCTAGGATATATATAAAAGTACATTTGATTAGTTTTATCTCTTATATATAAATAGGTGGATGTGTGTGATTATTATTTATCCTTCATTTTGTGTTTATATATTGTGAATATTTTTTCATATGTAGATTTTTTATTCGTTAAACAGAAAAAAATGCATTCAGTTATTTCAGCTGCTACTATTTTATTATTGACTGCATTAATTCCAGGTGTAGATGCTACTCTCTCAGTTACGATTGGATCAACTGTTGGTGGTGTTCTTGGTTTAGTAAGTCGAGATTAAAATCAAAAGAGTGTGATGTAATATTGTTTTCTTTTTAGATTATTTTAATTCTTGATATTGTTGCAATTTTTGAATTAGTTACATCAAGTGGTCGAGATCTTTTCTCGAAAGTTATTTGGGTTTTAATTATTCTTTTATTTCCAATCGGTGGTAAGCTATTTTTGATTTTGAAAATATTTTGTTTCTGATGTGAATTTTATTTTTAAGGTTTAATTTTATATTGGTGTTGTGCTCGAAGTGGTAGTGGTCATCAAGATATCTAAGGGTGATAAACAACGAATCGGCAAACTAGAACATGTCTATTGTGATGCTTTTATTCTTCTTTTTATATTAAATTTCTGTAGCTTTTATTATAATTTAAATATTAAAAATTTCCTCTTTTATAATAAGTAAGACTAATATTATATACTAAAAATAATTCATAGTTCTATAAAATAAATAAATGACCAAAATCTGTGATCGAATATAGAACATCTTTCATTAATGAATTCCGAAAAATTTCAGGTTACTAGTTTTTGAAAGTTGTTACAAATGTCATTTAAACAAACAAATTACTTTCTATACATGAATTGCTTAAGGACAACTTTGTCGTCTAGTCATCTCATTTCGAATAGTTATAATTTTCTTGTTTTTCTTATCAAAAGCGAACCTTGAATTTTTACCTAAAAATCACCATGATATGTGTGTGTAAAAAAATATATATCTATGCCAACAGGCACTCATAATAGGTCGAAAAGAACATATGACACTCTCGTACATTAGTTAGCATAGACATACAAGGTCTTGTTTAAAATCTTTCTTACTCGAAATTTAGTTTTTGTTTCCCCTACTATGAACTAATGTACCTTATCAAAAATTATTTATTTAAATTGAACGAACCAAAGTATATATATATAAATATATATATATATGTACGTATATTAATGATATTTTATAATAAAAAAAACATGCGTGAATTTTAGAAGTGATGCATTACAACACAAACATTTAGTGAAAAAAATCTTATAATCGTTACAGAAACACAAAACTAGCAATAATTCTCTAACACCATGCATTTTTCTATTGTTCTTCTAAATCAATTCATGTCTTGTTCTTCTAAAAAATAATAATAAACAAAAAACAGTTTTTTCTTCCATCTGATCGATAATATTCTAATATGAAATTTTGCTATTGAAATATTTTCTGTTACGAACAATTTTTTTTCCTTTTTATTTTTTTTTCGTTTAAATTGTATTACTAGCTTGAATATCCACTGTTAGCAATCGTTGAAGATATACAAAAATAATTGCGTACTACTCGTCGAAAGAATCCTTTGTTTGACGAACGTCGTTGATAAATATCATTATTTTTTTTTGTTTTTTCTGATGATCGATCATATCTGTCGCTTGATAATAATGTATTATTCTGATGTTCTGTTTCTTTATAATAGGACGATTGATGATGATTAGATTTTCGATCATTCGTATTTTTTTTAATTTTTTTTGGTTGAATTTTTTCACAATCTATTGGACGGTTATGATGATGATGATAATGCCGACGTGAATTATCATGATTAGAGCTATACTTTCTTCTTTGTTTAATTATTACTGATGATGATGCTGATGATGGACGTTCAAGAAGATTGAAAAGATCACAA